TCGATTACATCTTTAGATTTTGTCAAGAACCTCAAGAGGAATCGCAGGGACACCAGACCAGATATGGCAACAGCATTCAATGCATGGATGAATGGTAAATTTGTAAATGCACAAGATGGGCACTGACAAGAAAGACCTTCTGGCACAAGACAATGAACCAACTTTCCTTTCAGTAGATGCAGCTATTGATTCAATGTAGTGGTTCCACTTCAAGTCAATTGAAAACATGAGGCTAAGAAGGTACTGTGAGACACTCTCCATGAGTCAAGCATCAGCCATGCTGATGACGTGCAGGGAAGTTTCTCGATGGTGGTTAAATGAGAGCAGTTTCATTTTGGAGGCATTAAAATTTACAAGTCATTTCCCGCTTTAGTTAACCACTGATTGGAAGTCCTTTTCAAGAGCAGTGGCCAGGTTAACTTTGTCAACTCTGATGGATTTGCTATTGAGACAGGAGTAAATAGAATTTCTTTATGTAAGTGCCCAACCCTGGGTTCTTAAAGTGCAAAGACCCTAACAAGATGGAGAGATAAGCTGACTAGAGGAAACAGTTGGTAAATTTCTGATTGTATAAACAAGACAAGGCTGCAAAAAATTTGCTGATGAGAAATTAAAATGATAATTCTAATTAATGACCAGAAACTAAGCCACATAACCAGATTTGTCAAAAGGACAACCGAGGTGACAGGCATAGGTGAAATACCAAGAAGGATGGAGGAATTGAATTGCCTATGTTCATTGGGAGGTCTTAGTATGAGGCACAAATAAGAGAAGGAAGGAGTTATCAAGGCAAATTGATACCTGTGACCACTGCCCATAGGAAGAGGGATCTCCCAAAATTTGGATATATAATTAATTTTCTAGAGCCAAACAACAAAGGACTCTTGTTGGAAGATAGGGGAAACACTGGATTCCTTAATCACGTCGACCCCTATGCCAGTTTTGGGTGAAAGTCAATGTAAGCCAAACACTAAAGCAACCAAAAGAGTTCCAGAGATGCCAGTTCCAGAGTGCAGATAACGAGACAACTAGTCTTTCCCATGTGACTTGCTGCCAGAGAGAACCTGCAACTTCAGCTTTGTTCCACACATAGCTAAATTGAGCAAAGTGTCATGACAGAATTCAAAGTGGGAAGGGTTAATATTTCTATACAAAGAATGATAATATAATCCACATAGAAATAAACCCTGAAGAAATTCATATCTTTTTTTTTATTTCATTTGCAAGAATGTTTTTATTTTTCCTTTGTGACAGTGTCACAAGGACTGAACCAGTGCCGCAGTTGCTGATGACAACTTGATCTTTGCTAGCTTTATGATCAACACAACATGGGGTGAAGCGAGGTGCAGATCAGAACAACCAACTCCAACAGCCAGCAGCAGCATTGACCAGGGACTGACCGGCAAGAAGTAATATATAGTGGTAAAGAAAACTCACACCCTAACAATGCTTAAATCTGATCAAATAATCTGAGAATTTTAAGCATTCCACTTCTCATCCAATAACTTACACTGTAATATATCAAGTCAATTTCATCAAAAACTTGCAGTTGTACAAGTTAAATCCCACACACTTCACTTGAGCTATCACTTTTACTGTATACTCAAGCTATTTGCTGTTTATGAGAGCTATCCCTTGAACATTCCTAGACTTATCCCTTCCTTGCACATTCCTAGACTTGTCCCCCCCTTGCACATTCCTAGACCCCCCCTGCACATTCCTTGACCCATCACCCTTGGATATTCCTAGAACTATACTCCCTGCACATTTCCAAGAGCTATCCCTCTTTGTATATTCCTGGAGCTATCTCTCCTTGCCTGTTTATTGCATATTACAAGAGTTGTCCTCCTTGCTGTATACTCAAATTATCCCGCCTTGAACTGTAACCAATCTATCCCCTCCCCATGCACTTTAATATTGATATCCCTCTTACATTATACTAGAACCATCTCTTGTTGCACCTTACTAGAACTATCTCTATAGCAAAGAAAATGGCGACTTACCTCATCAACCCAAGAAAAGAAAGAAAGAAAGAGTGCACATGACTCTTGTTTATATATCAGAACATCATGCAAATTATTGTCACACCTCAACCAATCACTGACATCTCAAACTCCAGGTTCCGCATCTGGCCAGTGAATTGGTTCAACGTGTTGTTAGAGGGTGCAAAGGAGGATTTCCTGAGATGTGCAACTGTTGGATTGAATTTTAACCCCTCCTAAAATTCTACTACAATCTCCCTTGCACTTTACTAAAGTTCTGTCTAACAATGGCAGACTGTTCAAATGTGTTCAGATATGTTATCATTTTTAATAATATAGGTCAACTTGATAACAAATGTAAAAGTAATTGATGGTTGTAAAAATCTAAAAAAAATCAAAGATAAAAAAATAATTTACTTACTTTCTTGCAACATATCAATGGCATTGGTATAAAACTTGAGGGCCTCTGCATATCTGCCTTTCTGGAACATATCGTTGCCAGACTTTTTAACCAATTCCACCCGAGACGGTAAAGGCCAATGCATAAGGACTTTTGGAGTATTTGTTAAAATCTCTGTAGTCTTTACATTTTTATCACAGGAAATGGAGGCACTTTCTTTAGAATCTTTTTTGCTTTCAGAGTTTTCAGTAGTTGTCACCTGACCCGTGCTGACAGGGGCAGCTCCAGATGCCTCCCCATGTTTTACACTAGATGGGGGACACTTGTCTTTATTACTTAAACTGTTATCTCCAGACATTGAACTTTTGGCATCCAGTTTATTTTTAATGTTTTTCTTATGTTTGGAGGCTTTCCCTGAATGGCCATCTCCTTTACTCTTTATAGTGTCACCCAGAGAAACGTCCTCAGATTTTTCATCACTTTTGCTCAAAGCTTTGGTTTCACCAGATTGATCTGGAAGGCCGTTTGGCAACGATGTCATTTGGTTCTTGTCTTTGAGTTTGGCCAATTCATCTTCACTTCCTTCAACCTCTTCAATGACCAATTTTCTACCTTTTTTCTTCTTTGGAACGGTTTCTGTTTCATTCTTGGTACTTGCTGTGCACTTACACTCAACCTCTTGAAGGATTTGCTGTAATTTTAGAAAGAAAATAAACAGATTTGAAAATAATCTATGACTAAGATTTTTATTCTTGTTGGCAAACATGACATTTATTCCTTTTTTCTTTATTAGCATTTTTATCTTTTCAGTTTTTTTGTATCATGTTTTTGGTAGATATATTCTGATTTTCAAATTAAATTTGAAGAAATTCAGAACAAATGTTTTACAAATGAGACTTGAACCTATATCTAAAGGTATAAGAAGAACTTGCTATGTCATGTAGCAATATCTATAGTATCTTTCCTAGCGAATTAACTGGCAGCCAGAAGGAGAGGTTTCTGTCTTATTGTTTTGTTTTTTAACTTTCATCCTACTGCTGGATATGTGGGAAGGCATAATAGTTATTGGCACAGAAAGTGGGATCAGTGAAGAGAGTTCAAATTTTGGCATAGTCTGCTGCATTCACTTTCACACTAATAAGTTGAATTAACTATATTTAAAGATAATTTTTTAATGTGATTTAGTTGAAAAAAATAATTGAAGCAGTGAGTGATAGTTTTTGCAAACATTCCAACATTAAATAAATTTCATTGTATTCTATTTTATTTTTCTTCTATGAAATAGAATCCCAATAATAATGAAATTTGTCGAAACAAAAGTGGAGATAGATGTCACTTTAAAGTTTAAAATCTATTTAAAACGTAATAAAAATTCAAAGAAAATGTTAAATTCAGCTTTCTTTCTTTTAAATGACTTTAACATATCAATATTATAAAAAAGAAAAACTGTAAGTGAATAACTCAAATAATTACAAACATAAATGTCACTCTGTGGAACAGACACCTGAGACAATGATTCTTTGAACACTATAATCTTAACCACTTCACTTCAACCCTTTATATTCAGTGATTCTTGCTCCTTGTATTGGGTGAACAACAGAAAAAAAAAAAAAAAAAAATTAGTATTTCTAAGTTAATTTTACTACATATTTAAACAGCAGGACTAGATAAGTCATTTGCATGCTTATCCTCAGGGTCAAAGCTCAAACCATGGAAAGGAGAAGGGATTTCATTTTATATCTTGGCTTGCTTTTGATGAAAAACCAATAAACAGATAAAAAAAAAAAAAAAAGACTGACTTTTATATAAGAGGAAAAACTTGAGCTTTCATATTATTCAAGTCTCAACTAGAAATATTACTTTGGCTTACAGGCTAAAAAATAATATTATTTTGTAGTAAGAAAACCTAACGACTAATAGAAAGCAAGAAAAAAATTATTCAGACTCTAACCTTAGCTCGTTGATTTTCTGGCTCCAAGACAAGGACTTGTTTCAGGTCATATAGTGCCTTGTTATATTCTTCTTTCTCTTTGTATGCTGTTGCTCGACGAAGAAGAGCTGGTAGAAAAAGAGCATCAGAATTAGAAGACATTTGATGACAAATTAAAAAGAAATAATACAAGCAGACTATTGAAAAGTTTTTGGCTTGACAAAAAAAAAAAAAAAAAAATGAAATAAAGAAATAAAAAAATATGGTACCAAGGAGGAAAGCTCATTGGAACAGATCTAGATCCAGAGCCTTCCCAATCCTTGGAGGAAAGCATTCCTGATTGAACATGTCTTCAGGGGTGTAGCCGTACTCACTTATTCAGTTGAACTAGGACGGACATTCACATGCCCATCATGCCAACCCACAGTCCTGCATCAAGGTCAGAAGGTCATTAGGATGGCATTCTGTGTCATAATATAGCTGGTCAATGTAGGTGATTGCAGGGTGACTAACCTGTCTTGTGCCATGGTTAGGTGTCCAGAGCAGTAGATCACTTGCAATTGCATTTTGCATTTGCGTAGGATTGTAGAAATATTCATCTAGGTTTTACTTTCTCACCAAGACTCTCAAGTCGATATCCTGCAAAAAAGTTGACCGATATTGATTATGCAGATGACCTAGCTATTATTACAGACACCATTACCAATGCCACAGTTCTACATCATTTAGAAAATGCTGTTAACGATGTTGGACCTTATGTCAATGACTAAAACAGCAAGAAGCTTCAACTGGCAATGCTTAATATAAACTATCAAAATAAAAACTGCTGAAAAGGATGTGAAAATCTGCATAGTTAAAGCATAAGTCACCTTGAATAAAATGGATGTAAGTTGAAAATTGGAAATCTGATCTACCAGACAACCTCAAATAGAGATTGTTTCATGCCACTGTAGAGATGGTTTTAATGTGTGCTGACACTGCTTGGACATTAACTAAAACCCTCAAGTCTAAGCTTGATGGAAACTACACTTGGATGCCAAGAGCTATACTTAACATCTCATAGAGATAACATCCAACTAAATCCCAGCTCTATGGACCCATTCCATACTCACTATACTTAGTTAATTGCATTATTTAATCCACAGTTGGAGATTTTGAATTTGTCCTGACTAGACAAGCTGCCATCTGAAGCTATAGGACCCAGTCTGTCCTGCTATTTACTCATAGCTAAGGTGGGAGAAGAGCGAGTATTAGTGAATGTAAGTGAATTTGAACTCAGCTCTCTGATTTCTCAGTCTGAGCCACTATTCAGTGCTCTACTTTGCCTCCTGACCAAGAAAAAAAATGTGGTAGTGGGTAGGGGGATTATTTTGGATTGTGAACCTTTTAGCACTCCACAGTAATATTATTCTGTCAGTAATGTTTACCTTAATTCCTATTACATTTCTATAGTAAATTATTTACAATGATTATTTATAGCAAAATCATTGGCAATGTTTTACTTTAGACATTTAGTAAAAACTATGCCTAACTAAATGCCTTTCTTCACAATTTTCCAAGCATTTCTATAGTCTTTCATGTCTTTACACTATTATGCCTTAATTTCTAAAAACTGAAATCCTTTTTTCTCTTGATTTTTGAACAGCGTACAGATCGAATGCCCAATACTTTTTTTAAATAAATTTTAGGTCAGTTAGCCATAATATATACGAGGCCAAACCTTATTAGATTTAAATGCAACTGGCCTTAAAATACAACAGCAATTGCTTTTTTCTTTCTTGACTGCAAGAATTAACAATATGAGCTGCAATAGTTATAATTTTTTTTTAATTGCTGTAAGCAAGGCAATAATGCCACTAAGACGTTATATGAGTGAAAGAGAATGAGAACATTTAATTGGGAAGAAGTGAGGAAAAGGACAATAATGAAACAGGATTCAGGAAGACAGAAGATGGTGATTGATATTGCATTTAAACTTTTGAAGACTGTAGGTAGCAGGGAAGCAAGAAATCCCAATGGAATTCCACAGTTAAAAATGCGAGAAAAGAGATGGTTGCATCTAGCTAGCTCAACAGTAAAACGGTGAGACCTAGTTGCCAATCTAGTACCATACTTAAATTAATGCAGTCGAGGCACTAAAGGAAAAAAAGCACATCAGAATAGTTGACATGAAAATATTTGAAGTAAAAACAGAAAGAACACATTACAGGTGCTTCTTTAAATTTTATCAAGAATCTCAAGATATATATTTTTTATAAAACAAAAAGCTACTAAAAATCATTCTAATTTCTATTTGAAATACACCAGTATTTTGCTTTATGAAATTAGAAAATTGGAAAATCTTATCCTTTAGCTTTCAAATGAAGCTAAAAAAAAAAAAAAAAAAAAAGCTTCAAGAAAGATTTTTCATTTATGAAAATGCATTTAAATCTTAATTATACCAAAAGGTGCCTTATATATATATATATATATATATATATATATATATATATCTCATGAGAGTGAATTAAAGTCTTCACCTATTTAATAAATCTGTTGATATCAAACATATATACAACAAGAAAAGAATTGTATGAAATCACGATCTGGTTGTAGAAGTATTGCTGGGTACATGTCTCTGCATCTCTGGATTGAAAGCCAAAGTAGTATTCATTTATGCATAGAGCATCTTGGATAAGTAGACTTGACAGAGTTCATCCCTCTCCAGGTTAAACCACAAGCCGGTATCCTCCAACTTGAAACAATATCTAGTGTGGCAAGACTTTGGTTCTTTCTTCCACAGGGAAGTGGCACTAAGGATGAGTCTTGGGTACCCTCAAAGTGTTACATTGTACCAGACTAAGCTGAGCTTTGTAAATATCTATAACAACACTTGAACAAAAATTTATAATCTACTAGTTTTAACACATGAAAAAAAAATGATTTTTCTGATGATCTTAATTCTTAAGTTAATGATTAAATAAGCTCATGGCGAGTTCTATGACAATAAAACACCCATAGAAATTCCCGTATCACATCATTAAATATTTTGAGCTTAACAACTTGAATAAAATATTGCAATAATAATAATGCTGGTTGTTATTTTAAGAAGTGGGTACAAATGAAAAGATTTCAAGTTGACAACTTTTCCCATTTCAATAAAAAAAGCTGTTAAACACTTATCTCCCCTTCTTTCTTTCATTTTTCTCACTTAAAGACCAAGTAGTGTCTTTTTACCTCTTTAGTCCATTATTTATGAGGCACTGGCAGGGCATAACAGTCGTGCGAACTAATAAAAGGTGGGACAAGCACAATTATATTAGGATTATAAAAGTCAAAGCCTTCATCATTGATTTGTACAGGACAAAATACATTTCAGCACCTGTAATCTAGTTTTCTGTGATCATTTAATAGTACCATCCAAATATACATTCTATGAACAGAATAAAGTAAGTTGCTTAATTCTCTAAAATTTCTGTATAAACAACATTTTCAGCAAAACATCTATTTTCTAAATTTCTTTTTATTATTATGCTAAGTTCACTTGAATATGCTACTCCGGACATAGCTACATAAAGCTGACCATGAGAGAATCTTTTGAATAATTTTCTAATGTTTTTATTATCATTATTAATAATAAATTTCAGCAAACTTGCTATTTTTTCACCTGTTTAAATAATTTGGTACAGTTTTAAGAAAATCTAATTAAATAGATTATTTTGTCTTATTCAGAGAATTCCATAATTTTTTCAGTTTCATTTAATTTGTAGTAATATGAAATAGCAGATGACAACAATGCTTATAATAAATGCAGCAGCTGAGTTTGAATTCCAGTCAGATTGGTTACGTTCACTTACACACAAATACCCTTGAGAAAGGTATGTACCTATCTCTTCTCCCACCTCCAGCTTTAGGGTGAAGAGCAGGACAAACTAGGTCCTATAGCCTTGCTTGGCAACCAGTCTATAACAGAAGGAAAGGGCAACTTTTCTGACTAGTCAGTAATGAATTGAAAGAGACATGATTGGCCAAACGTGTATCACATATGGTATTTAACAAACTGAGGTTTTATAAATTATGACTGAATTTTGAAAGGAAAATATAAATTATTTCTATACAAATGTGATTTATTTTTTAAAACTATCAAAAGAAACATTGCTTATATATGGCAATTTTAAAAATGAAAAATAATTAACACAGAATAAATATTTATTAAATATGCTTTTAAACATTGTTATACAAATTAAATATGACTAATGGTGATAACGCCATGAGATAACTAATGATGATAAATGTCATGATGGTAACATCATGATACGAGGGAAAGTCAAAAATTACCTGCACTATTATACGTTACGGCAAAAGTTTGGATAATTTTTTACTTACTATCATTCATATATATATATATATATATATATATATATATATATATATATAATAAATTGTTCATGTGTTAGCAGTATAGGCTGGTGTGTTCTGGTCTACTGATATAAGCTGGAGACACACAGACAACATTTAGCCTTATGGGAATTTATAAAAGATGTGAAGCAGGTTGCCAGGCTGAATTACAAGAAATGAATTGGCCAACATCTGACATAAAACAAACAAAATAGAAAGAAAAGGTTTATTATACAAATACTTACCTTTAATGTTATTTTTATCATTTTCTAAAACCATGTTGCAGTCCTTGACAGAAGCATCCCAATTATGCAACTTCAAATCTATGCAAAACAAATAAAAAAAACGATGAAGACATACTGGAATTCAGTTAAATTATCATAATCATTATTCATTTTTGACTAGTATTTCTTCATTTAGCTTGCTTTATTTACACTTGTAGTAATATTATCTTGAATTTTTATTAGATGAAGCATTGTCAACCATTACTCATTTTGATTAGTATTTCTTTCATCTTCATTTTGCTTGCTTTGTTTACACTTGTATTATCTTTATAATCTAATTTTTATTAAATGAAGTATTGTCAATCATCTTCAACTATTTTTACATCACAACTACTTACACTGTCATTATGGCTGTTAGTAAACAGCACAAGATGGAAATAATAATAAAAAAAAGGTCTTGGATTCAAAATATAAAACTGCTTGACAGCCTCTGGAAAGCAAGACCCAAAGATAAAAAAAATTAAAAAGCATTATCTGGAGACAGTAAATTTGGAGGTTACAGAGGACATGGTTAAGAAAAATGTCTAGGATTTGTGAAATGTGTTCTTTAGTTGGTCAGCTGTGATCAAAATATTAGACTACTTTTTTTTAAAATCATTTTACCCCAAATAAGACAATAAAACTACTAAAATACACAGGGTTACTGAACATGAAAGAATATAACGAAAAGAAAGACATTATTAAGGAGCGAGATCAATAATAGAAAAGGAATCAAGAAGACAGTAGATAACGATTGACATTGCATTTAAATTTTTGAAGATCAAAGTAACCTGGAAAGCAAGGAGCCAGAACAGAGTTCCACAAGCAAGAAGTGTGATAGAAGAAACTTTTAGCATAGAAGTTACAGTTATATCTAGTCATTTCAACTGTAAAACAATGAGACCTTACCACCCATCTCATACCGCCCTTAAATTCATAAAATCTCAGTACAATAAAGCATCAGAAAAATTACCATGAAATTGTTAAATAATAGTTTAGCAGAATATCATTTTTAGGGGGAAGTGTAGCTCAGCTCTGACTTCCAGGGTCAGATGCGAGACATAAGGAAGTCGATTTTGATTGGCTGAGCTAGCATGGGAATGATAAATAAAGGTTTTTCAGCGAGTTGTTTCTTGACTGTCAAGCTATGTAAACATGTTCTCTTTTGTGTCTGAACCCCCCCACACACACACACACTGGATGGTTAGTACATGTCAACATTAATAAAAATATCTAAGTTAAAATTCTCAGTGTTGAGGTCTTTCATTGCCAAACTGAAATGATTGGCAATCACCGGCTGAGAGAAAAAACTAAGCTGAGATCATTCACTGCTGTCAATGTGCAACAAAAATATTTATAGAAAAGATAAAGGGACGCTATATTACGGTGGTGTGAAAGTGACTGAAGCCAAGATGCCAGGTTAGAACCAATAACATTGCAGATTCTTTGGATTTTTATCCAGAATCTCTAAATATATTGGAGGAACACCAGACCATATATGGTAACAATATTCAAAGCATGGGTAAATGGTAGACTTATAAATATGTAAGATTGATTCTGGAGAAAAAAATTGTCTAGCACAACAGTGAACCTACTTTCCTATCAGCAGAGCTAGCAATTAATTCAACATAATTGTCACACTTAATCAAGGATTGCTACAAGATAAAATGTGGGAACTGCTTGTGCTGGAGGAATGTTCTGATCTAAGGCCGGAGACCATCTTCTCATTTTAACATGAGACTAATTATCGCCGACTTAGAAAGCAGATGAAAAAAAATCATATATGTAAAATTTGATACATTTATGGGAGAGGAGTGCTTGATATCACAGATATAGCGTTTGTAGAAATAAACAGTGTAGACATGGTCTGACAATTGGTTGAGGCATGAAACTGCACTTCACTATCCTTTGTTGATTTCCCTGTTCACACTATCTCTGATATTGAACTCTTCGCGTATATATATATATATATATATATATATATATATATATATATATATATATCTCTTTTGTTAGATATACCAGGCAAAGAAGATTTAATTAATTTTTTTTATTTAGTTTTTCCCACCATCTTTGTTTTTCCATTTGGTAGGAGTAAGGGAGTACAAAAATTTTCCATAATTTTCATTGTCCCAAGCACTTTCAACCACTTTAGCCATTTTTTCAAGGGGTTTTTGTTTTTGCTGTTGTTAGTTTTTCCTCATGTTTTGACTGTTGATTGCAGCTGGAATTCAAAACAGTGAAAACATGAGAAAAAACTAATGATAACAAAAATAAAACCTCTGTACTTCCTTACTCCTACCAAATGGAAAAACATAAGGATGCTGGAAAAACTAAATAAAAAATTAATTAAATCTTATTTGTCTGCCATATTTAAAGAGAGAAATTAAAAGAAAAGTTGATGCCCAAATATACATACATACATTTATATATATTATATATGTAAAAGACAATAGGAAAACTGTAATAGTTGCCGAGATGTTTCATCCAACATCAGCAACTATTACAGTTTTCCTATTGTCTTTTACATTTATAAATATTGTCTTTTTCTACAGGTTAACTCTGAGAAATTTTTCATTATATATATATATATATATATATATATATATATATATATATATATATATATATATATATATATATATTACATTACACAATTTGGATAAACCAGCTCAGAGACAGAGAAAAGTTTCCATGGACAGAGACACATCCATATGTAAAATCTCTGTATCTGAAAACTGGCAGTTGTGATCAGCAATACATTTACATATGGACCCCAAAAAAAAAAAAAAACAGAGATTAATTTTCATGTCACAAAACAAAACTTTTTGTCCGTCTTATGTTTTGAAATAAGACGTCTCACAGGTGATAGGAAATATGAGATCTATTATCATTTTCTACACAATGTTTACTTTGCTGTTCCAATATATATTTTTTTCATTTTTACCTACACCTCTTTTCTCAGCTGTCCCTATCACCCCTGAAGTGGAAGTGCTATTCCAATAACTCATTGGCTAGAGAGAATCCAAATCTATGAGTACGTACTAACTTCTCCCACATGCCAACAATTTATCTTCACAACTAAAAGTACTACCAATGAGAATGTGACAATAATGTCACCAAACGTGGCAGCAGATTTGGATTGGAGACAATAACAGTTTGATTTGGATAATATGAAAAAAAAACAACAGGGTCAAACAGAACAAGAAGCAGCAGTGACAGACGTGTCAGTTGTGACATAAAATCAGCAGTTGAAAGGAACAGTATTCTGGATGCAAGACCAAACAATGTGGGAAACATTCACCAACGAGCAGGTAGGTAGAGACTCTTTCTTGCAGATTTTAAAACAGATTGTGTTCTATTTCATTGAGTGAGGCGCCACTTAGTTTTGCTTATATAATAATAATAATAATAGACTATTATCCAGAGGATTTGTTTCTTCAAGATCTCTGAGGATACCTGAAACCAGATAGTACCAAACCTATATATATATATATTACTCTACTGTACCTAAGATATAATTAGCTACAATAAGAGATTAACAACAATAACTAAATAAATAAAGTAGAAAAATTATAATAGTATACTGTAATAAAGGTTACCTGATGAAGAGAAGATTCATTCCTACTGTGGATCTTATTAGACACAATAAGAGATTAATAACAACAATAAATAATAATAATAATAATAATATAATAGATCATAATAATACACTGTAAGCAACCTCAGCAAATTATTTTTTTCTTTTCTTATTAAACTGCAAATTTTTACCTTTTCACTGAAAAGAAGTGGTTTCTCATTGGCCTATCTGAATTGACAATATCAGTGCTTTTCTACATCAAGACCATTATGAATTAATACATATGAAATGTTTATACCCTTGTGCAAATTAATTATTATTGTCCATTCCTCAAACTCATTCCTTGCAGATTGACCACATATTTTTGATTGGACTTAAAACAGGAGATTTTCTGGGCCAGTCTATAATACTTTGACTTGCTCACTGGTAAGGCTTGCCAGTGTGTTAATGCAGCATTACAATTTTTGTACACTTACTAGGAGTAACGTCCATCAAACAATGACTATATAACAACTAATTGACAGTTGAGACAATAGTGTCTAGGTATGATAAAAATCTGATGCAATCACAGATAGCACAATATTATTCAAGGCCAAACAAATTTCATCATACACCCCAAAAATAGATTCCTATTATTGCATACCACTGCAAATGACCTAATCCGAGGAAAAAATAGAAATTGATTACACCCGGTCACTCTAAAGCTAACCGTATGGCGAAAAAAAGTAAACTAAAGTGGTTGTTTCAATTAATTTGCACAAGGGTGTATTTCTCGTAATTGAAACTGTAGATAATGGTGAACAACTGTACATATGTATAAAATGTTCATAGAAGTCTTTGTGGTGTGAGTTCTTTGATCTTACTTCTTGGTTGTCTATCTCTTCATATATGGACTTTTGGAGTTGGGTTTTCTGCCCTTTGTAGAACCCTCTAACATCTCAGTAAAGTAGACTGAAAGAGATTAACATTACTGTTTGTTTTCCTTTAGTCTATGTCTATAACACACCCACTAACAGACAGCAAACATTGTGAGCCACACATTGAGGACAGCAAAATCAAATACAGAATTTCAACTATCTGGGTCATTTAGTAAAAGACAGCAGAAATTGTAATCCAGAAATAAGACTACTGAAAGATTCCTTTCAGAAGCTAAGCAAAGAATGCTGAACACTAACATCAAATCTTCTACATAAGATGCAAGAGAACACATTTATATAACTGTAGGTTGAAGTGATAATAAGGGGTACAATGCAAAGAAACACAAGAGTACTTGGATGGTGGAACTTTCACCAAGTGGATGATAATACAAATAACATGCAGGACAATTTGGCAGGGGGACACTTTTCCATAAAAGGAAATGACTAGCACTAGAACAAACACTTAAAGAGAAACTAACTAAAACTGATATCAATTCCACTCCCCATCTGCCAGACTGCACACATTTTTTATTGACATAGAAATAGAAAAACTGCCAGCAGAAGCCTGGATGTAACAGGTTTCAAAACATGTGTCATATTTCAGCCTGTTTTTTTTTCTCTTTTTCTTTTCCCCCGGCTAATATGCACAAGCATGATTTGGTGCCTTTCTCGCAGCTGAGTTCAAGAGGTTTTGCCACAACAACCTAAAAATTAAGTCACTGCCTTTACATCACAGTGATCCTTCCATATCAGCAGTTTCAGTTACTCACTGCCAATCCTCTGAAACCATTCATAAAAAGAAAGAGTGCAAGAATGTCAGCATGTTGGATTTGCTAAAGAGAAACCATAAAACATTTCTTTTAATTGAAATTGTTCAACTGTTTTTGTTTAGTGGCATATGAACACATCTATGGGTTATTTAATGCTGAAATTTTATATGCAATTTCAGATATGCTTACATAATTTTATACTTTCAAGGCAAATGTATGGTTTTTAGATATATTGTTCAGAGATAAAAAAAAAATTTATTGCTGGTAATAAATATATTTTTATTTTTAGTGAATCACCAAAAAAAAGTCAAAACACTATTTTCCCATAGCTGGGATCCTAACAGGTGCTACCACCTTGGGACAGGTTTGGTTTGGTTCGTTTAATGGCATATCAACCTCAGTGGGTTTTTTAATGCCAAAAAATTTTTTATTGCTGCTAATATTTTATTTTGCCAAAAATCTATTTCTGGTAATAATTTTTTCTTTCAAAAATGTATTGCTGGTAATATTTTTTTTCCTACAAGTATTGCTGGTAATATTTTTTCCTCAAAAATGTATAGTTGGTAATTTTTTTTTTCAAAAACGTATTGTTGGTAATAGTTTTTTTTTCTTCAAAAATTTATTGCTGGTAATAATTTTTTTTTTTTTACAAAGTATTTCTGGTATTAAAACCTATTTTTACACTTACATAGTGTTTTGACCCCAGTTTGGGAGTTAACTATTTGCCCATAGCTGGGACCCTAACAGGTGCTACCACCCTGGGTCAGGGTGGACTTGGGAACACCAGCAATGAAGAGGTGATTCCACACTCCTCAAAACCTCCTGATCAGAGGCCTTGTTGTTGGACATAGTTTATCGTCTTACCCAGGACATGGATGTAGAGACCTGAGAACAACAGCAGTTAAGAGGTGGTTCCACGCTCCTCAAAACCTCTCATCTCTTGATCACAGAGACCTTGCTGCCAGATGTAGTTTATCATCATACCCAGGACTTAATTGAAATCGTGAAAAAAGAAAAAAATTTTATCCTGAGGTTGTTAAGATCTGTAGCAAGAACGAATCTTCCATCTGTCATAACTTTATTACTGTATATTACTAGAATTGTCCTATTTTAGAGGTACAGTGGGATAATGGATAGCAGCTTCGAGTGAGGAATTGGAAAGCCAAGTATGAATTACATTCACTTACGTGCTAATGTGGTGAAATAGGACCAGGAAATTAACTTACTCCTAGCTAAGAGGCCATGATATCTTGCCTACCCAGTTGGAACTGCCATTTGCAATTTAGGTAAAGCACATACATAGTTCTAGCTTTTTTAAAACTATTGCTAATTTTCATGTGTGGTCAAAAACCTGAATAAAAAGGTGTGCCACACAGATAAGCAGGGGATTATCTACAGGACTTTGAACTGTTCTGGTCGGGGTTCACAGCGACTATGAACTAAAGCTAATACTCTCAGGGAAGGAATGAATCCATCTTCTCTCCAGCTATCAGTAAATAGGATAGATTAGGACCTATAACTTTGGTTGGTGATCTTTCTAGAAGGAAAACTCTGAATTCAAACCAGCCTGGAGTCTGTCTTGATCATGCAACACTACTGCTGATCTGGCTGCAGTAGATGTGATATCCCTACAACCCTAGGGGTTATGGGATTTGTGACTGTTGTCAATCTCTAAAATTGTGTCTAGAAAGATCTATGATAAGAACAAATCTTCTATTCATCACATAACTTTTATATACAGTTTTATAATGGTTCTATTTTATTGTTAGTTATTGTTTTTAATCTCTTATTGTGCCTAATAAGGTCTATGGTAAGTGAGATATAATAGATCCTCAACATGATTAGCTTAGAATGCATATGAAGTAGTAAAATGGGATGTGAATGATTTTATTTGTATCTGAATTACAGCAGTTTTGTCTATATTTCTGAGATGAGGTATTATGTACAGTATTTACAAAGATGAGGACAATAGTCCGACTAATGTAAATACTGTACAGCAGTTTTCTTTTTTTTTTTTTTTTATGACTACATAGATAATAAATTTGACACAGAAATATCTTTGAAGCAACTACTTGCTGACCAAAAGGAAATAAATAGATAAAAACTTTTAGGATCAAGTTTCACTTAATCAGAATGGAGTTTTGATCACAAGCTTATATAGGAGAGTCCTAATTAGAGTGAGTAGAGAAAGGAGCCATCCATCCAAATAGTCACATCGATAGCAGTTGTTCAGCAGAAGTAAGAAAAATAGACAAAGGGACCTAATTGCCACCTACATACCACTACCACAGAGTGAATGCTATATCTGATTAGAAATTTGGCCAGTGAATAAACAGACAAATTATTGAAAAGAGGATTCATATTTTCATTCTTTCTTTGGCATTAACTTCACTTTGGTTCCCTTGCGAAAGTGCAACAGACCTTTTCCCAGTTTTTGTGCAAACTGACAAAAATGTATCAAAAAATGTGATACAAATTGTCCATTCAGTGAAAGACAGAGACAGTTTACATGTTTATGCAAACATATGTATGAATCTTCCATCTGCCACATAACTTTTATTATAGTACATTGCTATAATTGTTATATTATTAGTTATTGATATTAATCTCTTATTGTGTCTAATAAGATCTATGGAAAGAACAAATCTTCTATCTGTCATATAACTTTTATTACAGTATATTGTTACAATTGTTCTATTTTATTGTCAGTTGTTATTAATCTCTTATTACCCCTAATCATTGTCAGCTTTATCTTGTATCTAAGAATTTAATTTCTTCTTTGCTAATTGCTTCCTTTATGATGATGACATTGATGACTAAGTAGACCAATTCTTGCATGGAAAAGTCGATGACATTGACTACATGGTAATGTTGGTTGAGGACAAGGGTGACTTTGTCAAGCCTTTCTCTCTTGACTTCTTTTCTCTTCTGGTAGCTTTAAAGATTTTAGCTCTGATGGAACATTGCCAGTTGGTATGGTCCTAGATTTGCATTTCAAATGATTTAGGCTTAATTCTAGTGCCTTTCAGTGTTGTTTTGAGTTTGTTGTTGTATATTCTGTACCAGGCTAAGCATGACCAACACCTAAAGATCCCAACAGTGTAACAAGGGGATGATGATTACAACAGATTCCAATGGTTGAACCAGTGGATTAAGAGGGTTACACATAATAGACATGCTACAAAAGACACCACTGGAAATTATAACAGAGTTAGTGGCAGTCCATTGCAGTTTCATAACCGGATCCTGCATGGCTCATTCCATATGTGCCACAGAGGAAGGTAATGAAATCAAGTGTTTGGGTCACTTCCTGGTAAGTTGAAAGAAAGTCACACCATTGGCACTTTTTTCTACTCTAATTTTCTTTACATCTAACAGAATCTAGAAGAAGAATGAATCTTCTATCCATCACATTATTACAGTCTATTGTTATAAATGTTCTATTTTATTATTATTTATAAAGAAGTGTATATATATATATATATATATATGGTTCAGTATGAACTGGAGGCCTTGATAAGATAAGGAGTAATATTCTCAGATATGTTGAATGCAATCCAAAACTATGTGAATGTACCACATTTACATACTTTGTTATCACTCTTTGTGTGATCCATTTTCTGCTTATACACTTCATTTAAATTAAAACTGGTGGATACAATAGAGACAAAAGATAACAGGTGGAAAAATGTTACTTACAGACAAGGGAACGATTGTTGTAGACAACATCTGAGGGGCAAATTGATAAACTTCGGTTATAATAAATTACGGCTTCATTATAATCTCCACTTCTGAAGGCCTGTGCAAAAAAAAGGAAAAATTATGGCAAACATTTCAAATGGGCATCACTTTTAGAGTGCTGGTCACAATAGATGGGCTGAATAAAAATTAAATAAGATGTTAATTTTAAAGTAAGTCATAAAAATTAAAATGCAGTTGACCAAGTTTATCTCCCTTGAAACTCATATATGAATAATTTCAGAATGGATCATAAAAAAACTGATAATTTTTTTTTTTAAACTTGTTGACAATGGTGTGAACATATGCTCAGGCCCCTCAAACAATATTTCAATGACTGGTCAGCTTCTGCTTCACACTGTGGTTCATTTCCAATTTGCATTGGTGTAAGCAAAATTAGAAAAGGTCCCAGTGTATGTTCAAGAAAGAAAAAAAGGAAAATATTATTTAGGGAACAAAATCTCAAATACGGCCATCTTGAGATCATGTCTTGGTAAGAAAGACAGGGAATCTGTTGGCTCCAATAGAAAGTTCTTTATTCAAGAATTAACCTAACACTATCTCAGGGTTAGGTAAATAACGTTTGGAACATCTTCATTGCTACTTCTCTAACAATGGACGAACAGATCAGATCTTCCCTTCAGCCAGCAGGAATTCTGTCTCCATCTGATTTTACATTTCTTCTGACTAACCAAAGTCGACTGTCCTTATTAAGAATGTAGCCAGACTATATAAGCCCAGAATTTCCTATCTTCAAGTTGAGTGTCACTTGATCCCAAAAGTTATTTATTTATTCATTCATTCATTTCTCTTAATTCTGGAGATCAGGTGGTTGCTTTGAAAAACACATCTTCATTTTACTACTATTTGTCTCCAGGCCCAGATAAAATCATTTACAGTCCACTTGACTATGTGAGTATCTTAACCAATCAAACCTATTGTGTCACATATGGTATCAGGTTTCCCCAAGGAGTTCAAAAAATAGAATTTGAGTGAATATAATCTATTACAGACTTAAGTGCACAGTGCTGAGTCAGCAAGAACCAATCACACAGAAAAAGTAATTAGGCTGTCTCCTATTTAGAATGTGAGATGATATACAAAGGGGTATAGAAACCATCTCAGTATGACCAACTTCTTTTAATCTGACCAAATAATCAAATATCAGAACTATTTTTTGAAGGGATTCTTGATCAGACCAAGAACTTTTCATCACCCACCTTACTTACATCAGTAGTACTCAGAATCTTGTAGTGAATAAATTATTGGTCAATTTCCTACTGTCAACAGCAGTGAAGAAACAATACTGTTGGAGGTTTTCACAAACACAGGTTTGGAAGAAAGCAAATGTTTAGGTCACAGACACATAATCTTAAAGACAGTAGAAACAAATTGACAAAAGAAGTGGTTCTTCTTTTCTCTTCACAAAAAGCGAATATAGAATTTTTGTTCTAAATACTCTCTTTAAAATGTACTCTCTTGTTCTATTTATTGAAAACTGCCACATTTTTTATGTATCCAAATCTAAGTACATAATTCTCCACCCCCAAAAAATCTACACGGTTTTGTTTGTACCTTTAAATGTACAGTTGTTGTCTTTGATGTTTACATACACTGAATCCTTTATCAACATTTCCCCCTTGTTTTGTCAGTTTCCCGACTGCTTCTTAGTGAAATGCACAAAAATATGGCTGAGTAATCCGAGAAAGAAAGATGTCAAATAGATTCATTGATATTAAACAAAAGCAATTAAAGTTTTCTAAAAATCAGGAAAATATCAGACTTGCATGTGACTTCAGCAGCCAATATTTTTCTGCTTTTAGTGTAGACACAAATTCTGTGGAACAGGAGGAAGTTTTTTTTATTAATCATCTTTTCAAACAAAAAAACAAAAACATGATCAACCAATCAATGAATGGCACATGACAGTCCTTTTTAACGCCATCCAAAATGTTTAAATAATTGAATTCTAAGTTCATTTTCTTTTGAGAAAACACATGCATAAGTGGGGGGGGTTTAGTAAAAAGTTCTCGGACTGACCCACTTCCTAAAATTTGATCAAATGACCAAACATCATATTGGGAGCAGAGGGAAGCTTCTTAGGCCAAAAACTTTTCAATCCCCAGTATTATTATAATAAATTTGCTTTTTTTTTGCATCTTTGGTTTTGGAATTATTAAACTTCAACTAAAATAAATATCAAATATTACAGGTATTTCACTGGGTACCTCAACTGAATTTTCAATACCTAAGGTTTAAAGGATTTTTTCAAAATGAAAAAAAGCATTCTTGAAGGTTTGATTTTAGCTTTAATTGAAATCTAAATGATTACAAAATAGTCTGGTGTATGTCAAATAGAAATTATATTGATTAAAATCTTGACATTTTTGCTCGCTTTCAGAAATCTTTTAAATTCTGCCATTTTTGACGTATTTGTAAACAAAAGTTAATTCTTGGCTTCAAAAATCTTCCAAAAATAAAATATAGTTTTCTGTAACTTTATTTGAGGAATATTAGCTGATTTAAAGTATAATTAATCTGATTTGAAAAAAAAATATTATTTACTTTAAGTTTAAAATAACGGAGAAATGAATTTTTAAAACAAACAGTAGCATGATTAAGTGCTTATCAACACCTTGTAATTCACTTGACGAGTGATTTATGAAGCGTTGACACTTTTATTATTGTTCTAAGGAGACCTGATCTGTTAAAACATAATTTTAGAAAATGATGCATGAATGCTTTTTTTTATATAATTTTTAAGTACTCAGTCATCTTAAAAATGTTGTAAAATGTTCTCCATAATCTAATGTTAGGAATGTTGAATTTAAATTTACTAAACAACTTTTATTGAGCTTTTCAATTTTTGATCCGTAAATATAGTTTTCACGCAATAACAATATCACCTATCTGAATTGAAGTAATGCAGAATTTTAAATGATTTATAATATTATAAAATATTATAATTAAAATTTAAAAAAAGTGAAAAAACAATTCTTGTAAAAATTCATTATTCATTGAAAATTTTTTTTCTTTTGGGGCTGAAATTTAATTTCTTGAAATTTCATGAGATTAACTGTGTGTGTATAGGGGTGGAGAACATATTAAAAAAAAAACAAAAACAAAAATAAAAACGTTTTTATAAAATTAAAAAAATAATTTCATTCATTTTTGAATAAGCCCTGAAAGTTTCATTAAAATCCAACAATTATTTTATTTTTGCAAGAATTCCATATCAATGAGTTTTCACCAGAAAAAACACTAATCATTAATGTTACATCAACCACTGACAAAAAAAAAAAAAAAAAAAAAAAATGTTTTAAACAAAATTTTAAATGTGCAAGAAAGGATTAAAAAGTTTTAAAAGATAATTAAAAAATAGTTTGGTTTTTCCTCTTAATAAGAACAAAGATTTTGATGATAAAACTTTGTTTTTATCAAATTTGGGGCATTTTTTTCTTCATGTTCTGCTGTTTTTCTGTGAAAAAGTGAAGGTACATATATTTCACCTATATACTCTATGTAGAACAGATCAAAACAAGTTGTTTTTTGCACATTTATTACAAAATAATGAGATTCTAATATCTGTTTAAAAAAGGGGGGTCTTCTCTGCCATCAAATATAGAACTATTTATGTCTGAATTCAATTAACTTATCAATCTGATTATAAGAAGCACACATCTAAAATGATTGGTAAGGATATTTGGGCTAGAAAAGTAACTTCTTTTAGACTTTTAGATATTTTCTATATAGCTTAAGTCAATATATTCTTATATGACTTCAGCCTTTCATTCTTATATATTCAATACATAACTTCAGTTCCCATGCAAAGTAATAGTGTATTTGGACACTTAAATTATATTAACAAATATTTGCATACTCAGGCTCCTTTGTATTGTTCTTATCATATTTCAACTAATCAATTCTATCCTTCTTCAGATGAACAATCCGTAAGGTGGGAGAGTTTTTTTTGTTTTTTTTTAACCCTTCTGTTTCACCAACCAGGTTGGTTCAATTTCACAAATACAAAATAATCAGACATAGGGTGAGTACATGAGTGTTCCCCAAACTTGTTTTTCACTAGGAAACAAAAATATAGATCATACCGAAATCTACACCAGCTTGACTTACATAACAAGCTGATATATATGGACACTTAATTTCATAACTCTGTATATTGTTGGATGGAGAAAAATTCATAAAAAGATTCATACTTTTCCTTTCAAATTGAACACTAGAAAAAGATTGCCATCTGGATTAGCCAAAATGTGGTAACAACAATATAAAAAAGGACCTAAAAAGAAAAGGATGTGGAAAGGAACAAGAAAGAAAAAAATGTGGAAAAAATGGATATAGAAGAGACCTAGGAGGGGAAAAATGGGATAGAAAAAGGAGGGGATATAGAAGAGACCTAGGAGGAAAATGGGGAAAACCTGGAGGAGAGAAGAGACCTAGGAGGAGAAAAATGGATATAGAAGAGACCTAGGAGGGGAAAAGTGGATATAGAAGAGACCTAGGAGGAGAAAATGGATATGGAAGAGACCTTGGAGGTAAAAATGGATATGGAAGAGACCTTGGAGGTAAAAATGGATATGGAAGAGACCTTGGAGGTAAAAATGGATATGGAAGAGACCTTGGAGGTAAAAATGGATATGGAAGAGACCTTGGAGGTAAAAATGGATATGGAAGTGCCCTAGAAGGTAAAAATGGATATGGAAGAGACCTGGGTGGGAAAACGGATATGGAAGAGACCTGGGTGGGAAAACGGATATGGAAGAGACCTGGGTGGGAAAATGGATATGGAAGAGACCTGGGTGGGAAAATGGATATGGAAGAGACCTGGGTGGGAAAATGGATATGGAAGAGATCTGGTAGGAAAAAAAGGACTTTAAAAAATAGATAAATAAATAAATAAGGAATATGGTAAACATCTGGAAAGAAAAATATGTGGAATAAAGTAACTTGGAAGAAAAAGACATGGTAGGACATTAACTCACCTCATTTCCTTTGTCTTTCTCACGTGCGGCCATGACCTGTTTTGTGTCTTCCAGTGTGTCTACAAAGAGAATATAAAAATTCCCATTCATATAAAAAACTAAAAATTTAAAAATTTCTGGTTTTTGGAAACCATTTATAAAAAGAACATTTCTCAAATCTTAATTTAAAACAGAAAAGAGAAAAAGATCAAAAGTAATTTCTAAACCATTAAATTGACACAGAATTAATAGTGGTCTGCTTTTTGAACTGAAAAAGATATATATGAGGATGGATCAGTAAGTTTGTAGCCTGTCACACTTGTTAGCTGAGTTTTGATCTGAAATTTTCACTGTATTATGTTCAGTCATTATTCTGATTAATATTTACAGCTGAATAACATTAATATACAAAGAAAGCAATTATGCCAAAAAATAAATATGCTTTGTAAAATAAAGGATTTTTTTATCTTTAGGCTATGGACTTATTGACTTGTGGAGTGAAGACAGAAATAAACAGTAAAACAGTCAAACATCAAATGCCAAAAAAAAAAAACGGTTTTAGAGCCGAATCCTTCCAGTTAATAAATTAATCATTTAAAAATAAATATTTAATATTTTTCAACCAAAAGACCATGTTCCAGCCAACAATAAAAAAACATGCTTCATGATCCCTTTGAAAGCTATATAAGCAAAGTTTCTAGACCAAACAAGCCAGTAAGGAGAAGGAATGGCAAATTATAACAGTTCATAATGTATTGGCTTAAAAGAAATTTCCTTACTCATTCACCCATCTACATCACCAAGCTACATGGCACTTACACTCTCCTCCTCACTTTCTCAATTGCCTCTTTTTCTCACACATATACATGAAGAAATCACATTTCTTTTCATCTTAAACAACTACAAACAAAGACTGTAAAACACTCATACACACTATGAAAAATTTAGTTTTACAAACAAGAAAATAAAAATATTTTATATTTAAAAACCTTTCTCGCTTTTTTCTTTGTTGTGGGTTGACTAAAATCCACAACAGACTAACCTACTGATACCAAAAGTCAGTGTTCAAGCCTATGTAAAAGCCAGGATTTTGAATGCTGATTTTCTAGACAGGTATTACTTGTCTGATCATTCATGGTGGCAAAACTGTTCATAAATATCTAAACTGCCAACTGTATACATCTACTTGATTAAAAAAGGCTTTGAGAAAGTGAAGCCTGTTACTTGAAGAGAAAATAATGACATAAGCTGTTGACATTCCACACCACTTCAAATAAAAGTTTAGGATGGAAACTTCCCATCAATAATGGAAAGAGCAATAACAATTATTGGACTTGAAAACCCTATTTTGCTGAAAAATCTTTTTAAGAGAAAGCTTTTAGAAATTTCAACCAAAAGTAGTACTAGCTGCTTAATCAATGAATGCAAAATGTTTCCTTATAGGGAAATAGCTAATATTAACATTACTATTATCTTTCCTGTTTCTTTGATTGTGTGTTGTAAATATTAAGAAAGAGCTAATTGAATCTTGGACATTTTACAAGAGTGGGCCAACAAGTTCATAGCTTGAAATTTAGCAGAATTTTGTTCTGAAATTTTCAGTGTATAATGCTCAATATATATGACAGAGAAGTGAATTAACAAGGAATGAGATTATGTTGAAAAATAAATGCTTGTTGTGTTAATCAAATGCTGTTATACATCATTAGGCTACATTTGTTAATGTACATATATATTCCCCACTGAATTAAGGGCATTAACAGGGAAGTACATTACGTTGAGAAATAAATACTTATTGTCTATATTCCAACATATATATCACCTGAACACGGATGGAGTATACAACAGCCAAAACATCGTGAATATGACAGTAAAATCGAGGACAATAATCCAAATGATGTAAATAGTATAAATAAGTACCTATGATGTAAAACAAATACTTTTTTTATCATCAGGCTATTGAAAGTCAATGTTCAGATGCTTGCATTCTGAATGTTGATTTTCCCTTTCAGCAGGCTTTTGCCACTTGAAAAATTGCAATGACACAACCACATCCCAGCCAGATATTTCTCCCTTACCTCATTATTCCCTAAAAACCACATGAACAGTGTGACTGGATTCAAAGCTACTTCTGTTTGTGAAGTTACAGTCATAATGCAAGCTTACACTCCCAGTTTGCATTGTGATGCCAAAACAGGCAGAGGAAAAAAGAAACAGCAGAAACAGAAAAAAAAAGAAAGAAAAACAGCAACAAAATAAATAAATAAAAAGAAGAAAAAAAAAAAAAAAAAGAAGCAAAATAGAAGAAAAAGAAAAAAAACCAGAAAATTGAAGAAAAAACAGTAAAGAAAAAAACCCAAAAAAGAAGAAAAACAGAAACAAGCAAAAAAACAACAAAAAACAGCAAAAAATACATAAAAAGAAGCAAAAAGTAAAAAAGAGTAAAAAAAAAAAAAAAACCAGCAAAAACAGAAAAAAAAGCAAAACAGCCAAAAAAAAAACCTAGCCCCCCCCAAAAAAAAAAAAAAAAAAAAAAAACAAAAGAGCAAAAAACCCAGCAAAAACAAAAAAACAGCAAAAATAGTCTGAGACCCCCCACCCCACCCCCAAGGGCAAAAACTGAATAAAAAAAGAGAGAGAAAAAAAAAAAATGAGAATGGTGATAGCCAACAATAGACATTGAAGACTGATAAAATAAAATGAGGTTAAACTTGGTAAATAACAAGAGAAATAATTGGAAAAACTTACCTGGTTTGACACTGACTGTTTCAGATATATTGGAATTTGTATTTTTGCTTTTTTTCTTCTCTTCTGCTTTCTCATCAGTTCCTTTAAGTTCTTTTTCAATATCAAATCTGCAAATAGACGTTTTGTGTTACTTGATTATTAAGATAATAACATACGCTCCTGAAAAACTTGTTTAAAATTTATTAAATTCATAACTGAAGAGAATTCAAGATCAGAAGTAAAGCATTTATAGATAAATAAATAATTTTATAAATTATAGATTTTTTTAAATTCCAGGATGTCACCAATCAAAATTCATTGAACATTTTTTTTGCCCATAATCTGTTGCTTTTTTGTTTTTTTAGATTTACATTATTCTTAGTATACTTAAATACTATGAGGGGGTACTGAAAATTTTTCAGTTCAGCCAAGTTAAAAAAAAAAAAAAATGTTTGGTCATTTTTGGAAGCAGGTTGGACCAAAATTTTGACAGTACCTCCATTGTACAAGTATCTGCTTAATGTTCATTTGCATAATCCCACCACTACATGTGAATCCATGGGAGATAAATTGAATGTGTCTTAGGATGATTGATAAATCTCATATGAGTGCAAATCTATAAAAAAATGTAGCAGACAAGACAAGCATTTAGAGCAAGCCATGTCTTACATCTTGAGCATTTCTTGTGCCTGTTGACAAAATCCACCTTCTGATCAGTTTGATTATTTTGCTTTGTTGTAGCAAATGATTCCTGGCAGATTTCCATTCATTTGCAACCTATTTCCATTCAAATTTAATCTTTTGGCAACATGTCAAATGTACCTACTTTCAGTTTTCATTTTCTTTTTATATTCTCATTGTATCCTGATCAAACCTCCTGAATGAATGTTTGTTATTAACTTATAAAACTGGCAGTTATTAATATCACAACAATTCAGTAAACACAATTTTCAAGTGTAATAAGCCAAAAAATTGTGTATATATTTCATTAAACTCATTTTACCTGTCATAGAAACTTCCTGATTTAATTTACTCCTTTTGTCTCCATTTGATTTATGTAATGCTAATATGGTGTATCATTTGAATTGTACAATAGGCAGCAGTGTCACCAGAAATAATCATCCTACACTGATTGTTGTTTTTATGATTTATCAACCTTTCAGGTTAATTAAAGCCAGAAAATATTCTTAGATTGTAAGAAGTTGTTTTTTTGAGATAATAATGATTTACTGATACAAGTTCTAATAATTAACCTATAGCTGGGAGGAGAAGAGGTGAATTCATGCCTTTCCAAAGAGTGTGCATAAGTGAATATAAAGAACCTGACTGGAGTTGGAACTTGGCCCTCTGATTTCCAATTCTGATCCATTATCCATTACACCCTCTGCACATCCAAGCTTACAGCAGCTGGTATTCACAAGCATTCACCCATCTTAGTATGGACCAGGCTTGACATTGCTTAACTTTGATGATCTTACAAGAACTGGTGTTTCATTGTGATATGGCCCTAAACAATGTATGACATTCATATAAAAATTCCAATTTCATGGAATTATTATTGATATAATTATTATAATTCCATAATCTAATTATTATTATAAAGTTGGTTCACTGTGTTATGCTGGACAATATTTCTCTCTAGAATTTATCCTACATATCTAAGTTTACCATTCAACCATGCTTAGAATATTGCTGCCACATATGGTCCACTACTCCTGCTATTTATCTAGAACTCCTTGATAAAATCCAAAGAAGAATCAGCAATATTATTGGTCCTGATCTGGCATCTCAGTTCAGTTATTTCTCATGATTGTAAAGTTGCCTCCCTGTGCCTTTTCTATGGTAATCGTTTGGATGAACTCTTCCCTATGGTACCTAGACTTTTAAAATTTAAGTGCAGTACTAGAATGGTGACATGGTCTGATCAATTTAGAGTTGAGTTGGCTTCATGTAACTATATATTCTATGCTAACATTTTCTTTTCTCACATCTCTCACTTGTGGAACTCCCTTCCAGCTCAATGCTTTCCAGTCAACTTTAAACATCAAAAATTTAAATGCAATGTCAATTGCTATCTACTGTCTTCCTGATTACTCTTTTTGTTCATTGCCATTAGTAATGTTTCTGTCTCTAATTCTTTCACACCCAGTAACCTCTTGTATCTTAGTAGCTTTACTGCCTTGCTAGGGGTGAATTCAATTAAAAACAAATTTTTTAAAATAAAAATAAACAATTAACACATTTATAGATACTGGAAGTGCTAATAAATCAAAATATTCTTTCAAAAATTTGAAACTAACTATTTGTCTCATTTCATGCACATATGTAGATGTGTCAACATCAACAAAGCTCAGTCTGATGAAATCCTAACAGATGAAATGTGTCACAAAATTTTTTTCACCAATTTGTCATACCATATATATATATATATATATATATATATATATGATGAAAGTGGAGTCCTTAGAAATCCATAGGTAATAATTTATTTCATGGGATCAGATCGACCCCCAAATCTTCATAACAAGAATTGAAAACAACATTTCATTATATATATATATATATATATATATATATATATATATATATATATATAAAAATGGACTGTTGTTTTCAATGAACGAAACTAAACAGCCTATTTGACCTATGATGTACTACTTGTGTTTGGGCCTTCAATGGCCAGTTTGGAACCCACACAACAATCTATGTACAGGACAAGGAAGAGCACCCCTTGTGAAAGCTGCAGAAATATTAGCACAGTATTCATTACTCTGCATTGTAATACATAGATGTTCATTGAATGACTTCTCAAAAGTTGTAATGCTTTTATGCCCATTCTGCTACACTTGAGGCAATCAGAAGTCTCAAAAGATGACAAGGATGTCAATACAATTTAAGATTAATGTGAGATTATGTTAATTATATATACATATATGTAAGCAAATATATGGATATAGATCCGACAGTATGAAGAAAAATTTTTCTTCATATATCATTTCACTTAAGTTTATATATGAACATGGACTTGATACCACAGAATGTATATACTGATTTGAAAAAGCACATAGACATTTTCATTATTTTTCCTTTTGGTTCCTTACAACCAACAGTTCTTCAGAATGAAACCATTGGCATAAATAAGACAAGACACAAGATGATATTCAGGGAAAAGTAAAAATAGTAAATGTGGAGGGGAAACTTAGGAACATGACTAAAAACAATTTATTAGTAAAATAATTCACGAATACAAAATATCAAATGTTCCAAGAGAGTATTTGTTGTAACCTAGGGAAGGTAGGTTGGTAATGAACGATAACACATATAAGATTCGCTAGGGACATGTAGAAGTAGTCAACTGCTAGAAGTGAGTCAAGTGAATTTCACAATGAATCTCCAACTGTAGACCACGTACAGTATTCATTACTGTATTTACAGGAATGGGGGCATACCCATTATCATCCGTAGGTATGCTATAACAGTACTATAAAGAAAAAAAATGTTACTCACAACCCTCCAATTAAATATAATGAGCAAATAAAATGCTCTTTTTGTTTATACAGACAGAAATGGTGAGCGAATCAGGCCCTATGTAGAACTGAAAAAATCATCATCATACTTATCAGCACACTTAGTGTTATCTAACAGGTGCTGACCTATTGCTGAGTCATGTACAGATTGTGTTGTCCTGGAAGAATGACTGTATTTACCTGATCTTATAGAAGGAAGAACATATTGACCAATTTGGGTCTCTTGCTTCTGATTGGTCTGTCCCACGTATTTAGTATTACATAGGCATTTAAACTTATACACAATAGAACTATTTTGAAAGTTGGACAAATGATCTTTGACGAAAGAGGGAAACACCAAATAGGTCTCAAAAACAACACGCAACCTGATAGTTAAAAAACCTAATGTAATACACGACGACACCCTGTCAGCGAGTATTTGACCCTTCCTACCTAGCCACAGTAGTTTCAAATAAATAGCACAAAGAATGGGAGGGTCCAAAAACTACTGGTTCTTTGAAATGTTTGATCTTATGTTCAATAACACATTTGATGACATTAGTAGGAAAAACATTGTCAATAAAAAAAACAATGAATTTTCTTAACTGTCAAGGGTACAAGAAGAGTAAATCATGAACATGCAATAGTCTAAGATAGATATCAGGTTACTTTTATGGGACTTAAGAACAAAAGAATTCCAGTTAGTGTACAGACCAGTGAATGTAGGTTTGTAATAAACACTGGTAATAAACAAACCATCTTTATGTTCTACAAAAGTACAATCATTATCCACTTACATAGTGAATTGCAAGGATGAGTTGGGTGTGAAAAGCCATAGTGTCATTGATGAAATCAAAAATGGAGAACATGTCATCAAATATACATTGGATTTATGGCATTTTTCATACAAAAAGCTCTCATAGAAACCAACAAAAATGTTGGACAATACTGGACCCAGGGTACTGCCAATCAAGACCCCATCAATTTGGGAATACATAATATTATCAAAAGTAAATTCAACCCGGTCTGTTGCTAAATGCATAAACTCCCAAAACAGCTTCTGGAATTAAAGCAAGACCCAGTTGACACCTATAGAAATCAACAGGACAAATTTGCAAGATGTCTTCATATACAAACTCACAACATCAAATGACACTAAAAGTTTGTTCTTAGAATAAATTTCTAATAAAATTAGAAAACTCAAATGAGTTGGAGATACAGTAAGTGGAGAATGGATCAGAAACAGGTTGGAGTTTTTCAGCCAACCATTTGGCCAGTTCACAAAAATGGTCAAAGAAGTACATTGTTCTTTTATATATATATATATATATATATATATATATATATATATAGCACAGTAGTTACTGGCTCACAGGAAGTAGCATGCAGTGAACTGCTCATGGGTAATAGCTGTAGTTATTTATAGTCTTTGTGACTTCCTATGTAAATGAATCACCTCATCTCCCTGTACCAAAGAGGTTTTATCCACTCATTTTCCCTGGTACTACTCCTGGGAGCTTTTGTCTCCTTACTATCTTCCTCCCTTTCCCTAAGAGACTGTCTAGATATGGGCAATCATGATATTGTTCTTTTTTCATAGGAATGTTCCTTCAACGATTGCT